ATAGATATATATATGGGGAGAGAGAGACTCAAGGTGTACAGTGTGATGATTCTATTGACATAGGTGTACACTGTATGATGGATACCATAATCAAATTAATCAACATATCCATCATGTTACTGTGTCTGTTTTTTGTCGTAAAGACATTTAAATATGCTCTCAGTAAATTTCAAGTAAATAACCCAGTATTATTAACTGTAGGGACCATGCAGCATATTAGAGCTCCAAAACTGGCTCATCTTGTAACTGAAAGTTTGTACCCTTTTATCCCTTTCCCCCATACTTCACCTCCAAGCAACCAACTGACCTCTGCCTCTGAGTTCAGCTTTTAGATACCGCTTGTAAGGAACATCATATAGTAATTTTCTGGGTCCGGTTTGTTTCGCTGGTATAAGGTCCTCCATCTGTGTTACTTTGTCTTTTTTTTTTTTTTTTTTTGGTACTTGGGATTGAACTCAGGTTCTTATGACCTTGTGCTTTCAAGGCAGGCGGCGGAACCACTGAGCTAAGTCCCTGGCCCCGTCTGTGTTATTTTGAGTGGTAGGACTTCTTGTTTATGATTGAATGTTCATGTGCGTGCGTGTGTGTGTTTATCCATTCGTCCATCAGTGACATTTAGGTTTTCTGTATCTTGGCTCTTGTAAATGTGCTACAGTGAGCAAGAAAATATACCCGTCTGTCCCTTCAAGATACTGATTTTGTCAGCCAAGGTGTGCACACCTGCAATCCCAGCAATCCGGAGGTTGAGGTAGGAGGATCACCGCAAGTTTGAGCCGTCTAGTGAGACCCTGTCTCAAGAAGAAAACAACATGGGCTGGGGATTTAGCTCAGTGGTGCCCAACCTGCCTTGCACACGTAGTCCCAAGTTGGATCCCCAGTACCAAAAAGAAAGCAATTTCATTTTCTTTAGATATGTATCTCAACTAAGATACGTAAAACAGAAGCCAATCAAATGGATATTGGACTGAAAGACCAAAAAAGGCACAGTGTGGGAACACAACACGTTGATGCTGTAGCAAACCTAACCACCCCCGGCCGAGTGGGAAGTCGGGAGGAAGCTGGACTTCCAGGCACTGTGGGCTTCAAGGCTGGTGGGCGAGCCGGCTCCGGCCGCCAAGATGGGAGGCTCTCCTGGGGTGCCCCTAGTAGGTAGGGAAAGATAAGGGCCTGCACTCTCCTTTTAATTTTATATTATGATCATGTGGTTAATTTGACAATTTAGCTTTAGATTTAGTTGGCACTAGGACTGGCTCAGAGAACCGAGTACCATTGCCTAGGAGGGTTGTGGCGCCCAGAAGGGCAGTGCAGTGGCAGAACGTGGCCTCTGCCCTCTGTGGGATGCTGTGGGGAGGTGTGTGCAGTGGGTCGGCTCTCCACCCCCTTTCTCTGTGGAGACCATGGCTGGGACTCTGGCAAAGGGGAGGAGGCTGTGCTGCACCGTGTACCTGTCGCTCTGCGTGTGCCACTCGGGTAACAGCCTGCATGCTGGCATTGGCCGTAGGGTTCTGCCTTCAGTGCGTTTTGGGCACTTCTTTTGCCAGCGGCACCAGGCAGCAGCCCCGTCACGGTGGTCTGAGTTCGGTTCTGAGATTTCTTCCTTGGCCCAATCCGATCAGCTTCAGTCATCCACCTGCCTACAGCGCGGTCCCCACTGCTCCTGCACTCACCCCACCCACCCCCACCCCACCTCGTGAGCGCAGGTTCCCTTTTGGGCTTTTTCAGTCCACTGAGACCTGTTTTATCAGTTCCCCCAGCGAAACTCTGTCTTATAAACCGGGTGTGGTGTGGCCACCTCCCGGCTCCTGCTGGGTTCCCCTGCAGCCTGAGCCGATCGGTCTTCCTAGTTCTGCAGTCATTTCTTAGGAGGCTCGTACTTGGCTCTAGCCTGGCCTGTGAGCCAGTGGATGTCGTTTCTCGGGCTGGAGATGTGGCTCGATGACAGAATACATTTGACGTACAAAAGGCCTGGGTTTGAGCCCCAGCACCCCCAAAGAAGATAACGTATATATTACTAGATAAGATTAGAATTTGATGAGATTGATTTGTTGCTGGGCATGGTGGTGCCCTCAGCACGTTGGAAGAGGAATAAGGAGGCAGGAGATGAAGAGGAGTCGGAGTGAGGAGAAGCCGGGCTGGAGCAGTCACACGGTGACGGCAGGGGTTGGTGAGGTGGGGGTCCTGGGGGTCTGGAGGGAAAAGGAATGGAGGCTGCTGAGCTTCTGCGGGAACTCACTGGGCAGTGGTGATGCCGCTTCTAGGAAGCGAGGGAGAGGAGCCTGGGGTGAGGGTGACGGGAGTGGAGACCCAGATCTGAGTCTGTCTTCCGCGCTTGGGAAATGACTAAGATTCTAATGATTGATGAATCTTAAAATGTGTTCCAGGTTTTTGTCAGGGGAATCACTTTTGTCACATCTTCTAGAGTGTAGCGACCCCCAGTAGGTTTGGCCCCCAACACAAGGACCACTAGGTGTCGCTGCTGATGCAGCAGAGACTCCCACTGAGAAAGGGGCACCGCTGCCTCAAAGGGACTCACAGGAGGTGGCCCTGCCCTTGCGGAGGGCACCCAGCAGTGTGGACTTCAGATGGATCGAAAGTTCAGGGCCAGGTGATGCTTGAACCCGGTCTTCAGGCCCCGGGGGGGGGGCTTTCTCTGTTCTCAAAGGCGCAGTTGGCATTTTAAGAACTGGCTGTTCTTATACGGGCCTGGGGTCTTCAGCCTCCCCCTCCCCCCCCAAATGCCAGTGGGCTCCAGGTCATCCTCACTGTCGAGGAAGGAGGCTGGGGGAGAGTGGCTTTCAGTGGGGGCCCCATAGGCAGTAGCCAGTCCGCGTGAGGAGTGACAGAGGGCCTGCTCCGGCTCTCATTGACCCTGTGTGATGACATTGGTGTGGCTCCCTGCATTGACGAGTGCCTCTCACCATCCCCCAGGAGCAGGATGGGGCTGCGGAGTAGACACTCACACTGGTTGCTCCAGTTGGACTTAGGGGATCCCAGCTCAAAACCTTTTGGCTCTTAATTGTGCTGCTCCCCCCACCACCACCAGGGACTGGATTCAGGACGCTGCACTTGCAAGGCAGGCACAGCGCCACTGAGCTAAAATCCCCAGCCCTGTGCTGTTTTTTATTCCCCCGGTAGTCAGAATCCATGTAAGCAGGGTGGGAGCAGAGCCCTGCTGACCCACAGAGGACAGTGGGCTGTGCTGGAAGCAGGACACCAGTTTGTCTGCAGTAAATGGGCTTCCTAAGTGCATCTCTCTGCGTTCTTTGTAATTACCTGACATCTCTGTGCCCTTTTCTTCCAGACAATTTATGAAAACCGAATATACAGCCTTAAAATAGAATGTGGACCTAAATATCCAGAAGCACCCCCCTTTGTAAGATTTGTAACAAAAATTAATATGAATGGAGTCAATAGTTCTAATGGAGTGGTAAGTGGCTTTTTCTGCCTGTGCTGGTTCCTCTGGGTTGGGCGTTGCTTTGTGCCCAGCGGCCATTTGCACATTGTCTGCGCTTGCGGGGTCAGTGGTCCCTCCTCCTCCCTCACTACCCAGCTGTGCTGGCCACGGAAGGGCACTTCCATGGGGTAGACTTGAGCCCGAGGCCCAGAAGTGAAAGGTCCTGCCCACTCCTTTACCTCCTGGGCCTTTAACTTATTTTTTGGCCTTGTTTTTTAAATTCATTTTTATAAACTGAACATCTCTAATCCCCAAATCTGAAATCCAAAATGCTCCAAAATCTAAAAATTTTTTGTTTTTGATTTGTGTTTTTGAGACAGGCTGCATGCAGTCTGAAACCTTCATATCTACTCAACCAGCCACCCCAGGCCAGGGCTCCAGGGGTGGAGGAGCAGGGAGGGGAGTTCAGGCTGGTCTTGAACTCACTGTGTATCCCAGGCTGGCTCAGAAATCCTCCTGCCCCATCCACCCGAGTGCTGGGATTGCAGGTGTGCGCCACCACGCCTGGCTCTGAAAACTTTTTGAACAGCAACATGACTCAGAAGATTGCAGATTTTTTTTTTGGCTGGTGCTAGTGGTGGAACCCAGGGCCTTGCGTGTGCTGGACGAGTGTCCCAGCACCACACTGCACCACAACTGCATCTGCAGCTTGCAGAGGAGGGGAGTCCACAGCACTGGAGGGTGCTGCGTGTAGCAACACTGTGCCAGCCTCTGGCCTTGAGCTTCACAGGGCAGAGGGTTGACAGGAGACTGAAGAGGCAGGGCCCCGCCACTGTTCTCTGTGCGCAGTGTTGCATCTGCGCCTGCGCCCTCCTCCTCCTGGGCCCTGCCCTGCTTGGGAAATGCACCGTCTCCGGTGCAGCCCCGGCCTCCGGGGCCTCCGTCACTCTTGTCCTGGGTGTGGCCCCATCCAGCCTGGAGCAGTTTTGAGCTGACTTGGTTTGGGTTGAGTCTCACCGAGGACCGATGTCACCCTTTCCTTCTCCCAACTTGGAACACAAAAAAGGAAAAACAGCCCAACCAAAGGAAGGGGGTCCCACAGGTGGGGTCCTGCATGTCACGCGTTGTTTTGTGACCAGCGCATTCAGCTTGGCCATGCACTGCACTCCCTCCCGCTGTACCACAGCTCAGCCCCAGCAGGCCACCAGTCATTTGGTTTTGTTTGCCTTTCTTGTAGGTGGACCCAAGAGCCATATCAGTGCTAGCAAAATGGCAGAATTCATATAGCATCAAAGTTGTTCTGCAAGAGCTTCGGCGCTTAATGATGTCTAAAGAAAATATGAAACTTCCTCAGCCTCCTGAAGGACAGTGTTATAGCAATTAATCAAAAAACCCACAGGCCCTTCCCTCCACCCCCACCCCAATTCGATTTAAGCAGTCTTCATTTTCCACAGTAGTAAATTTTCTAGTTACGTCTTGTAGACCTCAAAATACTGGAAAGGAAGCTCCCATTCAAAGGCAGATTATCTTAAGATACTGTAAATGATACTAATTTTTTGTCCATTTGAAATACATAAGTTGTGCTATAACAAATCATCCTGTCAAATGTAACCACTGTCCCCATAGTTGAACTTCTGGGATCAAGAAAGTCTATTTAAATCGATCCCCATCATGACTGGTGGGGCATATCTAACTCAACTGTGAAAAGACAGTCACACAATCACCTTGCTGCTGATGCCACGGCCCGGGGCTCTGCCTTCTCCCCGCCCTGCTCCTCCGCCCCTGGAGCCCTGGCCTGGGGTGGCTGGTTGAGTAGATGTGAAGGTTTCAGGTCGCAGCCTGTGGGACTACTGCTGGGTGTGGGGGTGCTTCACCTGCACCCTGGTTTCTTTTTTAAGTCTTAAGTGACGCCCCTTTCCAAGCCATCGACCTGCTCCACTCTTCCACTCCCACCCTTGGCCAAAGCATAGATTGTAACCCTCCGTCCCCCTCTGAAATTGGCCTTCGGTGAGGAATTCAGGGCTTTCCCCCGTCTGTCCCCCACCTTGATCGAGGGGTGCTGCTTTTCCCTCCTCTCCTCCTCCTCCTCCTCCTCCTCCT